AGAGCTGAGAAGCCACTTCTGCCAGATGCCCCCCAATTACCTATGCATGAACCCTGCTTGCACTGGAATGGGAATCAGGGTCATGGTTCTTATATACTGCCTGACTTAGTGTGCTGTATCTTGTACTCGTAACTTACAGCAAAGTGACTTTCTCTTTGTGTTCAGGACACAGTTGTTAGCCTGCAGGCCCTGGCTCAGTATGCAGCCCTGATTCCTCATGAGATCAGAGATGTAAAGGTGATGGTGAAAGGCAAGGATGCTTCTCCAGTGGAGTTCCATGTGCACAGGAACAACAAATTCGTTCTGCATCAGGCACCTCTCCTTGCAATCCCAGGAGTGTACACGGTGCAGGCAACTGGGAGTGGATGTGTTTATGTACAGGTAAGTTTACATAGCACAAAGCTATAGAGTTTTGCCCTTTGTTGGGGCCTTAGTAAGAATATATAGGAAAGTGGAGTTTGTGGGGAACTGGACCGACGCCTAGCAACCAAGCACCTGGAGGAGAACCAATCAGCTGGGAGCCTGTAGCCAATGAGTGCTGCTCCTCAGCGCATGCCCACCTGCACCGGTATAAAGCTCTGCTACAGACAACAGCAGAGTGGAGTTGACTTCACTTCCCATAGAGGTGTTGTTCACTCTGGCTTGTGGAGAAGGCTTCGGCAGTTGCCACGAGTTAAACCCCCTTCATATTAAAGTGCTGCTCACTCTGATTCGTGGAGTGAGCCTCAACATTCGAGTGACCCTCGACAGCCCTTCATTCCTCAAGTGAGGATTTGACTCTAAGTAGGCACCATACTGTCAAAATCTCAGTAGGATTTGGCTTTCTGGGCAGAATCATGTCAAGCCTGAACAAGCTCTTGTATACTCAGCTGATGTGCTTTTTGTGTTAGTGTCCATGGTATCTTCTCAGACATGTTTCAGCTTTGCTGGTCCCATATTACAGAAACAAGTACTCTTACATCTAGCATGTGTTGATGACGTTACTGTTTCTGAGGTTTAGGATTGTAAATTTCTTCTGTTATGATATTCCTTGGATTTTTGTCTCATGCAGAGATTAAGAGTGATGTAGTACCAGGATGTTCCCATCCCAGTACATCAACACAATTGAGCTATCTGGAGAAGCCATCTTATTTTTCTGGCAGCTGTGATAGAAGTATGCTTGTGAACCATCTGTACGGCAAAAAAATGTGGGGTCAAGTCACTCCCTGTGTAAATCTCCTCCCTGTATATATTCAGACCTCTTACCAAGTTCACAGGGAGTTTACAAGCAGTGTATAGACAGTAAGACACAAATATTTCTTGCCAATGCGTGAAGAAAGCAGTTAGGGTTAACATGCTACTTAACAGATGAATATTGTCAGTAAATGTGACAAGACCTGGTGAGTCTCTGCTGCCTGAGTTGTCAGTCACCAGGCAGACAGCGGAAGACTGGCCTCTGCTGATCCTTGGAACAGAATGATCCTACCTCTTGCTGAGTGGTCCTCTTCTGATTCTCTTTTTTCTTTTCCTTACTTTTCTTAGTATTTTTCCTCTTGAGTCCTAGACCATGTTAACAATTATATTCCTTCTTTCTACTCAATGGAGAGGGCTTCAGCTAATGTACTTTCTCACACATTAAAAATATTTCTTTTCATAAAACTGAGGCAAATGTCACTCAACTGTGCTAGTCCAAGCCTTGGATCACAGACCATGTAGGCTGAGAATTACTCTTGGGTGATATATCTGACCCTATTTACTGCTACTACTACAGGTCTGAACAGGAAGCACACCTGGAGCCTGGTGTGTTAGCCACTGATAACTAACTTGTTGAAAGATGGAGGCACAGATAGCCCTTTAGCTCATACAGAGATATTCTGGCATTCTGGGGCACTTAACTGTATTCTCTCCTCCACCAGACCACTCTATACTACAACACCCCACCATCAAAAGCAAAAGAGGCGTTTGTCCTGGATGTGGAAACAGTGCCAAAGAGTTGTGATAATGGCAAGGAACAACTTGACATCCACGTGTCTGTCAGGTATGGGACAGTCCCTTTGGTCCCCTTCTTCATTTGAAAGATGTGGGAGCCAGCAGCAGAGAATAGACTTCCCTATCTGTGGTAACAAAGACACACTGTCTCCTTTTCCATGTGTCCCAAAGAGATCTGTTCTGCTTCTACATCTGTATAAAGCAGTCTAGAGGTTGGGAGCATTCACCACTGTCTAACAGAAATGCTGTGATGTCTTCCCCATCAAATGTGCTTCTTTCCTGTCTCTCTCTTTTTTTTTTTTTTGTCAGTTATGTTGGCGATCGTGAAACCAGTAACATGGCCCTGGTAGAAGTGGAGATGTTGTCTGGGTTCATTCCTATGAAGAGCTCTATCAAAGCAGTAAGAGACCCTTCCCTCTGTCCTTCCTTACAAGTGTAAAGATCTGCTTCCCAGATGTAGCTCATCATATATATGCAA